TACTGCAGATGGGGCCTCACAAGAGCAGAGTAGAGGGGAACAATCACCTCTCTGTCCCTGCTGGCCACCCCAATTAAGTTGAAAAACTATGTGGAGAGAACGTATTTTTTTCTAGAAGGATTGTATCCTATAAAATCTAAACTAGATGACTTTCCTAGAGGAAAATGTTAAAGCTGAATATCTGAAGGAGTTGGGTCTGTACTTTATGATGGTGTTTGGCTCTAAGCAGCCAGACTGGCTGCATGTGGATCTGCAACCAAGCCCTTTGCAGGTCATGATAACCGTAATGCACTGATACTGTGTGGTATGGCTGTGACTTTAAGCCAGGAATGAAAACAGCTGATGTTAAAGTCAGACCAACATTTTACCAGCGTTAAAAAGGAATAAAATCTATTAGGAGTTATAAACAGATTAAGAAAAGCTTGAGTATTATAGCCCAAATAATCCTGTAGTTGTCATAAAAATTGATGTTGCAAGATTGCAGTGAAGCTTCCTTTGTGCCTTGGTGCTGAGCTCCAGCAGGCAGGTATGAAATCAATGCGGAGGAGGATTTTTTTAATTCATGACACATTGCTGCACGTGGGATTCATGGTTGCCATCAGCAAGGTAATTTTCCTTGATGGCTGTGTTGAGCTACAGATTGTGAGATACAAAAGTGTTGCATTGAATTAGCATACTGTCAACATGCCTTTGTGTCTCACAACTTCTATCCCCTAAATAGCTGTTTAGCTATCCTAAATGTCAGAAGCAAGAAAACTGGACCTTTCAAGGTTATAGCTCTTCCTGCTCGGCTGATGCAATTCAGAAGAGCCTAAACACAACAAATCAAAATCTGTGAAGCGATGTGTGGCTTCGTGCTTCTGCAGTTTTGAAAGAGTACATATAGATTTCCATTGTTCCATTCCAAAGAGCCCTTGAAGTATGTCAGGTATTTATAGCATTGGATGTCTCACTTGTACATGCTGGAGTTAATGACTCACACCTTTTCCAAACAATTGAAGTGCTTCCTGAATAGCAGAGAAAACATTCCTTCCTCTGCTCAAGCACTGATTCACGTTCTGATTCACATTTGTTTGTTGTCGTGTGGCAAACACCATTTGGCATGTTTACTCCTAGGTCTTAATTACCCTGCAGCAGTACTTTTCTCTTCACAGATCTTATTTCCTTTCCTCTTCTCAGCTGTGTCATGAGACAGCACCTAAATTAATCCCAAAATAGAAGCCTCCTTCTTCCTTCCATCTCCCCTCCTCTCCCCAGCTGTGTGCTTCTGCTGCTTCCCTTCTCACCAGCACCTGTGGGCCCTCCTCCAAACTCAGTGTGCTTGAGCAGCAAGAAGTAAACCCAGAGAAGGACAAAGGTTTTAGCAGGAAGCATGCAGTCCTGACTGGCTTGGTGAGGAGTCCTACTCACAAACATCCATACCAGCACAAAGGAGGGACACAGCACCATACAGCTGTCAAGAAATGGACCTCAGGAAAACTGGGGATGTGTTGGGTGATGCTTTGTTAGCTGAGTGACTGCTTACCCTGGCGAACTTAACCACCCAGAAGACTGTCAGCAGCACCAATGTGGCCAAGAGGTGGTGAGAAAGGTAAGCAATGTGTTGTCTTTGTCTCCTGAGCCATCAGCCCCCTCGTTTGTGCAGAAATGAATTCACAGGGCTGCAGCGGAGAGCAGACACTGAATGTTGTGTGCTTGGTGCTTGGGGCAGGAGGGACCTTGGTGGGGCTGTAACAGCCCATTTCACTGCTCATCGTGTCATCAGACCCCAGGGAGCAAACCTGCAGAGCATTTGGAGAGTTGGGTGGA